CCCCACTGCCCAGTTATCCCCACCCACCCACCCAGTTATCCCCACCCACCCACCCAGTTATCCCCACCCACCCACCCAGTTATCCCCACCCACCCACCCAGTTATCCCCACCCACCCAGTTATCCCCACCCACCCAGTTATCCCCACCCACCCAGACCCAACCTAATAGCCTTACCTGAACATTAATGTCTGTGAGATACCTAGTAATCATTGGAATAACACATCTTGAAACTGTATCTGGAAAATTGTCCTGGTGATCTTGACAAAACATGGCAATATGAGGTATCTGTTCCATCAGTTCAGCTCTTACTGTCATCTCTGTATACAATTCAGATAAAAAAAAACTAAATATTGTGAAGATGCAGTAAAAGTAATAAGTTTCTAACACATCGATTTATTTATATATCAAGTGTTTTTATTTTCGATGCTACTCCAAATGTGGAAAAAAAAACAGAATTGCAATTTTTAAAAGATGTTGAGTAACAAAAGCTGATTCTATTACACTTGATCCAGTATAAAGACGATAGACACTTCAAACTAAGAACTCGTTGCACTTTGAGGAACTTGTAAAGCCTCAGTTTGCAGCTTTGTAATATTTTGTTTTCTAATAAACTAAGAAAGCTGTTCTGTTTTTCATGAATCAATCTGCATTGGTTTGTCAATACATACTGAAAGATTCAGTCTGCATTCACAAGTGCTCTCATACTCCATGAAATCAAATATAACACTGCCCTTAATTGACACATTTTTCACTACTGTCCTGCGGCTACTGACCCAAAATGTTGCTGATCTAAATGAATATTTTACTCGCTAGCACTCGTACTGCCAAGTGTTTGCCTGAGTTTAATTTCTGGGCTCAGAAGAAACAAGTTAATGTATATGATGGATCTTGTTTCAATTAGGGAAATGTAATTCATCCCCAAGGTAAGGTAATATTACAAAAATTAAACTGTCATGGACATGTGTTGTTAGACGCATAATCTAAGTGCTAAATGTGAATGAAAACTCTTGATTCTGTTATGCAATCCAATTAAAGATGCAAATACTGGTCATGTGATGAAGTATATTGTTCTGAATTAATTAGTAATGTATTATCAGTTACTGAAAAAATAAATCAAAGAAAGCTTAGAAAGAACTCCTGTGTGCTGAGAGTATTGGAGACATTAAACATTAATTTTGAAAACAAGGGCATTGATCACGTGATCATCCCGAAGCAATCCGAAGTTGCACAAAGCAGCCCGAAGGCGACTAATCCATGTTAATCACTTGTAAACAAGTTAGATTTATCTGATAAATCTGAAGTAGTAAGCAAATAACGGCTACGCAGATAAGATCAAAAGACGTTCTTCCTCGGGTTTGTAGTTCCATGGTCAAAACTAATAAGGTCTGAGCATAGTCTTAGAGCATCTATGTACAAAATTTCATTGTAATGTGATGATTAGTACTTTAAACATCAGTGGAAAAGCCGAAAATTGCAAATTAGGCGATTAGTAAGGACAGATTTTTACCCAAAACAAATCAGGTCTGCACATAGAGCATAATATCTCTGCAATAGGAACCTATGGTAAAATCACTACAATACTGCCATAATGGCCACTATCCACTAAAATACAAATAATTTTCTTGAAAATTGAGCTAGGTGACCCCCCCCCCCCAACTTTTTGTAAGATTACCTCTAGATACACGTTATTTATGAAAGTACATTTCATATAACCCAAATTGATTTTCAATACAGCTAATGTAAATCCTTGATTTCGTTCACAGAATGCAATAATGTTACAAAGCTTTTTAGCATATTGAGACCACACAAATTTTACTCCACATATATAGGCAGTGTTAATGTGTTAACAACTAGCGAAAGTACATACCAACATCATCTGACATGTGACCCATTGCCTTGATTACAGTTTCTCGTTCTTCTGGGTTGTCTGTGACATAACGGAAGGTATCTAGTAAGCCCCTCGCAACTGCTTGCCTGTAAAGATATCATAAAATCTATGCAGAAATATTCTAAGAGCTGAATTAACAATTGTAAAACTACTCCCATCAAGTGATACCATTGCAGTGTCTTGTGACCCCTCATCGATTGCTATCAGTAATTTCGCCCTGGATTAGAGTCTGGGTGTCAATTCAGGATAAAGAATTGTTGGCCATTGCGGGTTAACCTTTTCACCACCAGACTGTCTCACCCGAATTTGTCTGCACTTTTTCTTATATTTCTGGAGCCAACAGAAAACATTCGAGTCAATTTTTAGTTTTGTTCCAATCTTCTTAAGGGAAGTGCAGGTTATAAACAGGAATTTGTGACGAAAAAAAGGAACTGGTAGTATACATTTTTTAATTGCTAACTTTCAATGACTCGACAGACAGGCAGATGTGAAAAATCACGCAGCAAGCTACTGCAGTATATACAGTTTGTTTTCCTCATGTTTTTAAATGAAGACATCCTCAGA